CAGCAAATCAAGTTGACCATTTTCCAATAGCACTTCATCTGTCAGCAGTGGTGCCACACGGAGTTTACATTTTCGCATCGTGAAAGCATTTCTCGCTGTTCTTTCACCATTAACTGATTAAAATTTTGTCACCAAATAGTTTGACGAACATTGACGAGAGCTGAAACCTCCCGCCTTTTCTAGTGATTACACAAAAAATGCCATGTTGAAGGATAGAACAGTTGGATTATTTTATTTGTAATCAATCATCATATTCGGTCATCATACCTATGAGAGCTATGTTCTCAATAATTTGCTGTATTTTTATTGTTACATTGCAGNTAATCGGTTCGACTCTAGATTACAACGTTGAATTTCTTCCATTCCATCCACCATTTTACAGCGCAACTACAAAAATATTTTATTTAATCAATGATTGACAATGAGGTCACACTAATTGTAAACTCTTCTATGCCCATTCTTGATTTTGCAATTGGTAAAAATTAGTGTGCAATCACATCCACACTGTTTTAGTATGTTCCAGTTGTTGCTTTGCACAAACATGAAGCAAATGTCGGATACTGAGTCTCAGCTTGAGTTGCCGGTAATCATTAAAGTAGGTTGAAATATATGAATAGGGTAAAGCGTATTTGACGTTCTATTTTTGATGGAAATGCCAACAAAAGAACCTTCCATATTGACTTTCAGTCGTCCTCCTAGTGAACCCATCAGGAATCGAGATACGTCAACGCCTGTACAAGAGTGCAGGTCGACTGACCCGGTTCGGTATGCGCGAACTATCTCTGTCCCGGCCCCGGAATATTTCCATTTCAATTCTTCGGTGAGTATTCACTTCACTACATGAGGCCAGAGTCCAGTCCTAAATGAGGTATGATTTTGCGCCGATTGATTCATTAGAAGCAGCCGCATTGCATGCCACAAAAACTGATTATGGGAATACAGATGATTCATTTAGGTTCAATCGGTTATGGTTGTTCCAGTTTAGGATTTGAATTAATGTTGCATGTTTACGAAACTCAATACAAAATGAAGAAAAAAACTGAATGTCCCCATGTTAAGTAACAAGTAAAACAGTTACTAGATGACCAGTTACTACTTCTATGCATTATATAAATTTTGTCTCATGGTTAGTGAAGTACATTGTTCTAGAATATTACGTTCAGATCTTACTGCGAACGACCGACTACATCGCCCCTTGCACACAGTCCAGTTTCGCCGTCCTTGAATAGGACCAAATACAAATCAGTGTCAGTTCTTTTCTGAACATCACCGATAAGCTATTTCTTTAAATGGATTTGCTATTATAAAGTTGGTTTGTTGAGGATGAGGCACAAAAACAACTATTCACTCTATTCAGATTTGTCTTTGTCTAGCTAGGAATGGTAATTAGAGTGCTTTCTCTTTTTGGTCGATTGTTTATTACGTAGCGACTCCTTCAATTCGTCGTTTCCAACTCCATTGTTTGCGGCCTTTTTTAAAATTGGAGGGTTTTTTCATTTCAACTACGCTTTCAGTCTACGGGACCGTTCGGTTCCCGCGTAAACTGGCGGTGCGTATGCGTTTCGTCGCTGATGCTGTCTGACGACGGATGTCGAGTAGCAAGTGTGAAACGGAAGCTAGCTATCAACGGACATCTGGGGTTTCCTAACGTAGTTTATTTCTGTAAGAGTTGCTCCTTACCGCCTGTAGTTTTCGATCACTAAATGTAGACAAGCAAGTTAATTAAGTGAATTGTTTCTATTCAAACATTCAACGTTTGGTGCGAAACAGCTTACCAGCTGAGTCCACATAAGTTGAACAGCGTCACTTTTTCACACAGCTTAGTCTTTTTTATTGCTAACAGTAGGACCAGCTAGGGTACTCCTTATTCAAGATGACCCGTATTCTCTGAGGACCTACGCACAAACAGAAAAAAATAATGTGATTTTTTGGGATTGACGCTTGTTGAATTTCCGAGCTATTTCAGTCTATGCAACCTTCAGGCGCTCACTTTTTCGAGGCTGCTTTGATCGTTTTTATTTGGCTACTCATAAGGATGAAGGAGTAGAGGAAGGAAATAACTACAATCATTATCAAGTAGTATATAAGAAGTCAAGGTGAACTAAGGTTGACCAGAAATTGGGTAGATGCGTGAGTGGAACTGGTCACATCACCCTGTCACATCACTCAGTATCTCTAACCATCAATTACACTGACCTCGTGGTCCCTTACCGCGAAACTTTCACGTCCCAATCCCCTGCCATATCCCGTCATATCATTTTATCAAATCTTGGTTTGGTCAACCTTGACCTTATTCCATCCACAGTATGCCTAGGCAAACATCGCTTATCGAGGAAGCCTTTCGGGTGATATGCGTAACACACTCCAATCATTGCAAACCATAGAGATTGAGTGCTTGTCCCTGTGAGGGACCTCGATTACCTAATGCTCCGCCCCCCCCCGCCGGCCGCGATATTACTTATCCGGTTTCTTCATCAAGCTCACGTTGACAGCGGTGTTCCAATATCACCAGTGGTACATTGTTTCCTGTCACTCTAACCACAAAGTCTTGGCACCCCACAACATACTCCACCGAACTGCTGCAGGCTACACTCGACTATTCACGGACAACCGAATATCCTAACAGAGTTGTCTCATGTTGATAAGTTGATTCTTCTGTTGGCCTTCTGGCACATCTGTAATTTGTCCGCCGGGGGCGATGGAAGTTCTCGGGTAGCAAAATTTGTCCACTTTTGCTATCGCTCCTCCAGCCAGAGTGAGCTTGGGATCTAGACTAATCTGGTTCTCTAAGAACATTAGAAGGTGCCAAATACATAATGGACATGGCTACCCTGTAGATCTAACCGTCCATAAAACTTTGCAAATTACTTTAATCTTCACCTAACAATACAGTGCCATCTGCATGCTTCAGATAAAACTACCTGCCACAAAGGAGTATATCGATGTCGCTGTTCGCGCACGCAATCGGAGGAGTTTCAAGAGTCTTATTACAAACTTGAATAGAAAAGTAGAGGTACAGCAAACCTGACGAACACCGCTTTCTGTGGTGAACTCGGGCGAAAAAGGCCGTAAGCTCAAAAACGGTTTTGGCTATTAGTATAAACGGAACGTAATATTGAGATAAACTTCTTTGGTACACCAGTCGAGGAGAGGCAGTACAAAGAGTACAAAGCGGTTGACTGAATCAAGTCTCACTTTTAAATCAAGGAAGATAGGGATGATGGGCTTACGGAAGGAATGTCTGGGTAAAAGAATTTGTTGAAAGGTAAAAGTATGATTGAAGCAGCCTCGATTAAGTCTAGGATCAACCTAACTCTCAGGCTTGCATCATCATGATCATCGTACAACGAAATACAAAGAAGCGAACTTCGCTGATTGCCGCCAAACTCGCAATGCATATGCATTGAGGTGCACTGTACTCATGCAATAGATAATCGACGTATGAGTGGAGCTCTGAGGTAGTTTTGATCAAACTAATGCCTCTGTTGTTTTCCTGTAAATCCGTAACGTGATCGATTAGCACCATTCAGCTGAAACCGGTTCATTTCCACCCAGGAGTTTGGTCAAATCGAAGACCGAGGTTGAACCTTCACCTTTAAAAGCCGATGAGAATAAACTATCAGGTTTAGATGGTTTACTCCTCTCGCGTACCTAAAAGACACCAACCAAAACCAGCGCACAAAGGTGCGTGGGCAGTGGTTGTAAAATATGAAATGAACATAATATTATTGTATGACAATGACTTACGCAAACAACCGTGCCTACATTTTGGTCGAAAACTATGTTTGCCAATACATTTGAATAAAAATGATGAAAAATTCATCCACGAAACGGAACCTAATACCTCTCAAAGTAACTTTGTTTCCCCCATAACCCCCATTTCAGTAGGGGGATTCATCACAACTCACAGCAAAAGTGGAAGTTGACAGATCAAAGGTGGTTTGAATTGTGCCTACTCATCACCCAAGATGGCGTTGAATCAGTGTACCGCCGGAATCCTTAATTACCTCACTCACGCCTGCTGCCCATGTACCCGTACTCCTGTTTAGACGAAACCGATTGCGACGGTTATCTATAACCATAGCTTTATCTATCTCTTTACATTTTCTACCCACCACTTCTCGCGGTCGTTTCTCAGGTTCTTGGTGAAGTGACATTCTAGGGACTTGCGCATGGAGACATTATATTATATGTTGTGCCTCACACGTGTGAGTCCAGACTGCATGCCAAATAAATCACGGTACAATAATCGTAATCGTGTGGAATACTACCAGGTTGCCCGGGCCCAAACAGGGGAATTTTCTTGGGGGGTTAACATTCAGAGCCTTTGGCTAGCCAAAATCCTATCTACAAAGCAGCGGGACAATGTGTAAAACCCGCAATCCTTTGGGGGCCACTGTGCGGTTGGTTGGATCATACACCATTTGGACAGGGTTAGACATCCAAGGTGCTCAGTGCACCTCAATGCCCAATCGGCGACCNCTGCCACAACCAAGAACGTATGTGCGTGTGTTTGATTTGTACGCCCTTTTTATATCTCGTTTGGAACCAGGGTTATTAGCCAACTTTTTTAGGTGAACTGCCGATGTTTCATCGACCTGGCTGCAATCCTAGATGTTGGCCTTTCGTCCTCTCACTTTAGCGATAAAATAAGTGAAGGCAGTGAGTAGGGCTTCCTCAACAGAGTCTTGGTCGTACAGGAACATTTCGCGCGGTGCAAGGCCAGGGTGATCAACTGCATCGCACAACACCCACTCCCGACCATCCTGAGGCTTTCGGAGTCACACGGAAAACTTTCCAGACGATTTTTGGTTGGTATCCGGCGCTACACGGACACTTCTGAGGTTTCGAAAAATATGATTTGTTTCTACTTGTATTTCGTTTTTCACCCAATGTTCAGGGCTTCTTGATGCGGTGTTTAAAAAAAGTATCACTATAATTCCAGACTGGTTGTAACGAAGCTTCCGCAAAGCTCCAAGAGCTAGAAGATCGGTTCGAAAATGAAGTTCTATCTCGAAGGATACGTGCAACTGAAAATCAGCCTGTACGAAAACCTCTTGACAGGCGATTTCCGTGTGACCGTAAGTGAATTTGACATTATTGAGTATGGAAAATGTTCGTTGTGGCATTGAAACTGAAATCCGATAGGCCTATCGGATTCCATTATTGTACATAGTGTCAATTGTCCTGATTCTCTATTCCTAACTTTCAACTGTTTTTCAGTTATTTAATGAGGATTTTACTTAAGTGTAGTATCAAGTATATGTTTTTGTTCTGGGTAGGAGGTATGATAAGGGTCTAGGTTGTCAAGGTGTGACATTCTTCCTCTTGCGATTTCGCCTGATCAAACATTCCGCCATATGCAGATCGTGGCTTGTTCCAATGGGTTGCCAAGGCTCAATTGGCACTTGCCAACTTGTGGCGCGACGTCCACATTCGGCTACCCCTGTAACCAAAGCGTTACCAAGCCTTTAATATTACATTTTTGTTCCTACGTAACAGCACAACTTACCTGCACAAGTGATGCTGCGTTCTTGGTGGAGTTGATATCCAGTGTAAACTTTTTCTCATCGGATAGAGATCCGTGGTTTCCAGTATCATTAACCTTTTCACAGTACCATCAATAGTAGTATGTGTCAAATACGGGACAAATCCGACGCAGTAATGCTCAAAACAAACGGATTTGGCATTAGTCTGCCTGAATGTTGTCAATCTACGACCAATGCGCTGACCAAAGCAATACAACCAGAAAGACAAACAGAGAGACTACTATTATATAACATCAAAGGTTGTCTTGACCCAATTGAGCGTTAGTTTAGCTTTTAATAACTGTACGTTGATGCCCTCGGATTCAGCAGAGTTGAATGCTGCCGTGTGTGTCCCCGGGTTGTGGATAGGGGGATACCTTCACCGAAGAAGGTTAGCTGTGAATAAGTTGTGGCATACCGCATCAAATAGGCTGTGGCGAACAAACAGCGCCGGCACTACCAGGGTGTGGTGCGTTTCAGGCTGGTCACCTGGCTCCTGTTTAAAAGCCGCATAAGTTCAGTGACGGTGTCGTGACAAAGGTCGATGTGACTGA